AGACCGATGGGGAAAAAAGGTTCTCGAGTGGCGGCCCCGTACCGGCGGACGAAGTGTAGGGCATCCCCTCACTAGATGGAGTGACGACCTGGTAAGATATGCAGGAAGTCGATGGATGCAGGTTGCTCAGGACCGTGCTTTGTGGAATTCCTTAGGGGAGGCCTATGTTCAGCAGTGGACTTGTGAAGTGCTGTAATGACGATGATGATATATATGTTTTATATATGTATATATATATATATATATACTACAAACATATATACATAGGCAAAATAAAATACGTATATATTTAATTATTTAATTAATTAAATGCAATTGATACATGTGCTACATATTGTATTATATTTAATGTGTAGGGTGGAAGGAAAATGGGAGATCTCCCGCCGAGCAAGGTGTTCTGCCCGGGGAGCGGCTAACGCTCCGATTGGTAGTCCGGAGCTATTCTATATATTATGCTACTTTAACTTCGGAACTTTGTTAGTGCGATTTAGGTTTCGATGTGTTTTGCTTGTGGCGCGACGACAGCGCCGCCACAAATGTCTAGTGTGGAAGCGAAGCTAGAATTTAAAGTGCGGTAATGGTTCTTGACTTATTTTTTTAAATAATGGTAGGGATGGTGCACGTTTTACTGCCAATGGGAATTATTTCCATAAATTAACGGCCTGTACAGTAAAAGACTTGTACATACATTTTCTAGTGTATAGTGGCAAATTCAACTTCAAACTCTCTGTTGATCTCAAGTTACGCGAATGAGAACCACGAAGAGACTCAAAAAGATTTGTGAGGTACGAAGGATTAAAGAGCACACTCTAGAGAAGATGATGTATGTGAGCATTCCGATGAAGTCGTATTGGCAACCATTTGAGCTTAGTAGGAAAAAGAGAGACAAGGTCATATTTGCGCAATCCAAATATAAAACTTATGCAAAAATTCTGAATTCGCTTAAGTTTATCGAGCTGAGCTTCGGTGAGATCTAGATAGCTGACGTCTGCGTAGTCATAAATAGGGAAGAGAAGGGACTTGGCAAGTATAGTTTTGGTGGAAATGGGAAGAAAGTTACGTAATCGGTAATCTACGCAATTAGGCTGCCGAGGCATAAACTTTACGATTAATTTCTTTGATGTGCTGTCCCCACGACTGATTCTTATCTATGTGGATCCCCAAGTTCTTTATTGAATCTCTATAAGGAATAATAGTTTATTACAATTAGTTTTATACAACAAGGAACCCTTATAGTTTCGTCATGTCCGTCCGTTAGTCCGCGGTTTTGCTCAGAGACCCTAGGTGATAGAAATCTGTTATTTGGCATAGTTATAGATATTAATCACGCCTAGAAAGCTGTGAAATAAAATCTTAAAAATAATTTTTATTTTAGATACCTACTTCCCATACAAGTAAATGGAGGATGATTTTTTTTACCCGTCTATTTCATCATGTGGAGTATCGTTGGATAGGTCTTTCAAAAACACAGCATAAAGCAGCTAGTTTTACTAGCTGCTTTATAACTTTGTAAAGTTATTGTAAACTGTTAAAAATAAACAATATAAATGAAGAAAACGACTTATATGCATTACTACTATAGCTTTACTCTTTGATTTGCGGGATAAGCAGGGAGGATCTTTCTTACTTACTACTTTCACTTATTTTTTTAGTTGGTAGTTATTGTAGGCCTCATTGAAACTATTCATACAATCATATAGCCTCATACAGTTTCATTTGTTACACTCTTGGTTTACGCGGGCGACTTCAGGATAACTTAAGGCAGTGGTGGTTTACGTAAAGGTTCGTTACGGTCATATTTTAGGGTTGCACTGTCGGGAATATATAGATAGTTCGTCAACTATAATGATCTTTGTACCTTGGCATGTGAATGATTAGATAAATTTTATTTTCAAAATCGAAAAGTTTTTTCCATCTTTTTTGAATACCACTCCCTATTAAGTTTGATTTGACAATAAGTCCTTCAGTTACGATCTTCATATTTGGGCCCATTTTTAGTTGTTATAGCGGTCATACCGCGAACTCACTCACTTCGTCCTTTTTTTAAATTATTAATTACGTAAAAATTATTTAGTCCTTATTTAGGCTTATTTAGTCCATAACCTTAGCAGCGATTAAAATAGGTCATATTGGTCGCAGTGATATTATTCTAGCACGACTAAAATAGCTTCATATACGTAAGAACTAGGATTACTTAGACGGAAGTTTATCGAGCAAATTGGCGATATTTGTTTTTTAAAAAACTGTCACGAACAAGTGACAAACGAATATAGTATAGGCCTACAGTATAGGCTACTGCAGCCCATGAACGTCTGCAACCAACTTAAGATTAAGAAGGCTACAGATGCGTTGTCATCTCTGTTGTGAGTACCATAGACTTAGAATATATACGCCAGTATATTCTATGTCTATGGTGGTATGTACAGCCTGTAATTATTATGGCTCTGTATACTCTTCAGACCAGAAAAAAACCGGCCAAGTGCGAGTCGAACTCGCGTTTAAAATTATCAAAAATATTTTTATTATATGATGTAACTAAAAATTTATGCTTTTCGCAATTTTTCGTTTATCTGTACTATAATACGTTGCCTCGTACCAAATTTTAAGATTCTGAGTTCAGGGGAAGTACCCTGTAGGTTTTATTTCCCTTGCGAATGTCGAAAAGAACATCGGCCAAATATGACCTGACCAAAATATGAAACGAACACCAAGGACTAATACGTCAAAAAATAGTGACTAAGGTCTATATATTAAATTACGTGGTCTAACTTATTTTGTTGAAGCCGGTAAAATAATTTAGCTTTGTAATGAAAAACCTCATTTCCTTACTACTTTTTATAGGTTTTGAACGCATCTAGCCCGTCCCGTTTTTATCTGTGGCACACTTTTCATCATAACACTAAAGTAACACTACCATTATGCGTTTACTTTTTTTTAATACTAGAATTTGTGACTAACAACTAGAAGTGTATTATCAATAATATTATTTTTAGATGGGGATATGGAAAGTATTCAAAAATAAGTTGCAAATGATATGTTGACAGTAAATATAGAATGCACAAATACTTAGAACGGAACGTATTATGAGTGTCTCTATGCAGTATGTGGTATTATGACACGAGAGCTGTCAAAGTGTGAGCAAAAGTCAAAGCAAAGATTAGAAAGGTTATTCATTCATTTTTGTGCTTTTAACCATAGATTTGACTTATTTGGTTAAGTATATATATTAATACATAGTTTTCATATCAATTGTTTTAGCTGAGGTTGTAGTCATGGCTACAGTCATGGCTACATCATAACCTCAAAAGTGACGAAATACATAAGTGTAACGTTCTATGATCCTCGGCTTTTAAATAATATATTTTCAATTTAGGATTTAGATTGTGCCCAGGGGGAACGGATTAATTCATACACTAGTCATGTTTGCGATGTTTTATAGACAGGTCACAGCATGTATGGGCCGTGACCGATGTTCTTGGCGGCATAAAAGACTGTATCTTTTGATTGCGTTGGCTTAGAAGTTTGATTTTTTCACAGCTCCAAGGGACAGTAGACTTGATATGAATTTCAGCTTGATACCTCCACGCGTTCCTGAGAAAAAGGTTCTTGACAGACAGACGGACAACAAAGTGATCCTATAACGGTTCCGTTTTTTCCTTTTGAGGTACGGAACCCTAAAAATCAGTGTAAGCACCACTATTGGATGGCAGAATTTGATAATATACTGAAGATGGGCCAAATTAAGAATACCCTTAACCGACGAGCTTGTACTCGTAGATATAAATGGGAAAGAAGCGAGAGAGAAGAGGATCGTGTTTTGTTGAAGTCAAAATACTAAAAATGTTATAGGGTGAGTGGAGGGAAGATGAAAAACGGGGTAACACAAAAAGGCATCAATAAAGACAGATTTTGTGTAATTTATCCAATGCAGGCAACATTCATAAGACCGCCATTTTGTTGTACACTTGTCGTTTTGAGGGATAGGTTGTGTGTTATAAGGGAATGGGGGAAAACGCTGTGAATTTTACGCGAGCAAGTTGGATGTTTTAATCTTACCCCGTGTCGTGTAACTTCATTTACGAGGTAGGTACGAGTTTAATTTGTATACATATTTATTATTTTTAATTGATAATGTTGCTTTGTCTAAATACCGCTACTTTTTGTATTTTAGGATTTATTGTAACATTCCGTCTTTACCCGCCAATATTTGACAGGGTAAGATAAAAATATAAAAGTTTCCATCTTGCCCCGTTTTTAAAAGTCATACTAATGGTCTCATGTTCTCAAAATGTACCTGAAAAAATGTTATGTTTTGTTTTTGAAATTTTGAAATATTTAATTTTTTACGTTTTGTGCTACATATTTTGTTGACGAAAATGGTAAAAGGTGCATGTACGTAATTGTGTTTAAAATTATCTTGGCATTAACAATAAAAGATTTTATATAATTGATATCTTTCATTTTCTGTATAATCTTATCCAAGTAAAGTCAAAAGTTTGAGAACCTCTAGTTCAATCAAAGATTAAAATATAAAAAACAAATAATTTGTGTTATCTGTGTTATTTCAAGGTATTTTGATATTATAGACAGTTCTGAAGTGTCAGTACAATTAAAATTGTAGCCTACTGGCCGTTAATATCGTCTGACATTCATTTGAACGATTTTAGAAACTACTTCGATCTTTCCCCCGCCTAAGGGTATTAGTGTTCTGTGATCTTTCCCCACCACCCTTTCATCTTACCCCATGTTTTTTCTTTCGATCAAAACATTGTAATTAATTTTTTTTTGCTTTCGAATAAATATAACAGGAATTTATCGATATGACATAAAAATATGCTCTTTGTATTTTATTCACTATAGATATAATTTTAGCCTAAGTTAATATGTACTGTTCTACAAGACGTCAAACACAACACCAATGTTATAAATGTGTATAAGTTGTCAGTTGTCACAGTAAAGCAAAGATGGTCACCACCCAGGTAAGCAATAAAACAATCAATCAAACAGTTATCTGCCTTTAATCTGCTCCTCCTCATAAACCAGCAGCCATAGTCTTTCAATCGGTACCGTTACAGGAAGAAAAAATTAATACACTATTACATACTGTTACAGTTTGGTTTGAATATGTGTTACAGATGAAGTTATGTGACCTTTATAATTGTATTTTAAACTATTTTATTATAGATACATGCGGATCATGAAAACCAGGGTGCAACGCGATTTTGCCGTGTTATCGTTAAAAATAGCTTTATTCGTAACGGGACTAGCAGTTTTATCGTTAAAATTATTATTTGTACTTAGCGTTCTACGCCTCGTTCTATTACACTAATGTTTGTGGGGAATCAGGTTTTTTAATAAATTGATTTGACTGTTGCGCTTTGTAAAACGGATAAAGTGAAAAGATAAAGTTAGATAGAGTTTATATTTCATTTTATTATTTCATTGAAATTTTATTTCAATACTTTATGATGAATCCAATCAATAATAACTAAAATGTAGATTAATTGTAATAAAAATTGTTTTCAAAGTAAAGCGTTTGTAAGTGATTATAAAAAACCTGATTCCATAATAAGTACATTTTACGAGCAACATCGCATCGCACTTTTTTCAATTGACTGTTTACCTTACTGTTTGTTGTGGTTGTAGTGATGTGTTGAAGTCGATAAAAAACCCCGTTTCTTGAATTAATTTAGATTATGGCCGAACATTCCTAGATTTTTTCTCATTAAATACACAATTTTTTTGCACTTGTAATAATTTTTGAAAATATAAATTTCGATAATATTTTTCCCCTTTGTTTCCTAAATATTAATCCAAATAGTTTTTTTATTATCCTTAATATTGTATTTACAATTTTTCAACAGCCGAAAAATATGTTCAATTTTTTATAATATTATTTTTTAACGACTCTTGTTACAGTAGTAGGTAACAGTACAAATATTAATGATCACAAGTTGGTTTTCATTGGTCATTAACATACGTTAATTTACAGCCTTATAACTATCGCAATACACTTAACAGGAGGTCTTATTCTACAACTTTATAACCTAAAATAATAGGTACATAGCACAGTACTATAACATAGAGAACATAAGTTATTCGGAGCAAAAGCGAAATAGGACTTCATAGGAGTCTATTATTTATTACTGAGCATTTGCTGTTATTTGTATCTATTTTGTCTCTAAAACATATTTCCTTTGATTTAAAGTAATTATTTTCTAAGTACGTCTGCATACTTTTCGAGCATTTAAAACATAATATATAATTTATTTATTTTTTGAAAAATCTATAAGTATATAATATTTCAAAATCTACTTTCCAAATGCGAGGTAATTTCAATAGTTTTTTAAATTTGTATCTACCCAAAAAGTATGCACGCGAAACAATACGCACCGTATTCGTATAAATGTTTATAGACCTCCAGTTACATGTAATTTGTATTAGAAAATGACTTATATTAATGAAACAATTCAAAAAGTTGTAAATTAAGGCAAATTTCTTTTTGTAAAAAAATCACGCTTATGCATATCGCAACAAAATCCAACTTGAACTTCTACGTAAATATCTTAAAAAGCTAGAACTTATCCATTATAGGTACATAAAACTAATAATACGTTTTAATGAACTAAAATTACGTGAACAATATTTACAATTTACGATAATGTATAAGTAATTAATCTATACACATCGCTTTACGTCTATCTATTAACAAAAACTAACATTTGAAAAAACTCTCAGTAGGCCACTAAGACGACACATTTCAACTACTTTCATAATATCCATAGTATCCCTATAACTAGATAGTGCAACATTCACTAAGAAAAACGAAAAACTCAAGAGTATTTCAATAAATTAATATCTCTAGTAGCTAGTATATCGCCGAGACTTCAGTTTTTATTGTACTTATTTACAAAATGCAATATTTTTACAAATAAAATTGTAATCTAATAAAACTCGGGTGTGCACAATTTTGAGGAATTTAGACCTTATGCTTTAGATAATAAGATGAAGATAATGCCATAAATGAGATATTTTACTTGATCCTAAGCATTGTTTCTGTAGTATTTTTAAAAGTTGTAATTAATTTTGATTACATTTAAGAGTATTACAATGACAGTCATTCATTTTCTTTTGTACTAAACACCTATGTTAAACTACGCATACCATTCATATCATTGTAAAAGTATCTACGAGACGAGTATATCAGTCGAAATTGTATTTTACAATTACATTTTATTCAAAAGAAACTTACTTTAATACTTGGCTGGAATCGCAACAGATTCGTGTTAAGGCCAAATGTTTACCAACAATACACCGAGAGAGAACATCGAATAACATGTAAATATCATTGCGAACTAAAACGTGTCACGTAAAACTCTACGTGCTGCCCGAAGCAAAATTATCGATATTGTTAAAAACTGCCCATCACTATTATATCGGACTTGTATTGTATCTCACATGGCGCGAAATTTATTATTACTAATTGTAGGTTATGCTTAAACCATTCCCTTGGACATCATCCGAACGGTGTTCTTTAGAGCTTGACGCTTATTGCAGAACCATATTCTGATAACTTCGCGTTCGTAGCCTAATTGATGCGCCAAGCCGGTGATTTCTGTGCCTGTGAATAAAAAATAAAAATCACTAAATATTGTATTAGCTATATTAAGTAAGAGTCGTGGTAGCTCAGATGGTTAGCGCTCGCTGTAAGATTCACAGTACTCGAGCAACCCGGGTTCGATCCCCGCCGGCACCAATGAAATTGTTAATTGCAATTTTAAGTGCTGATTTACGACGTGCTCGGCGGTGAAGGAAAACATCGTGAGGAAACCCGCATGTGTGAGAAATAAGAAAAAAAATATAAAAAAATATTTCGAAGACATTGAAGTTCACCAACACGCATTGGGGCAGTGCGGCGGACATTTCCTTGCCCTAAAACCCTCTCAGAAATGAGAGGAGGCCTGTGCCGGCAGTGCAATAGACTGCAACTTTACTTTATTTTTATAATAAGTATAATATTGAGTAGATGACGAGTGTAATGAAGGCTAATATCTTTCGCACACCAGATGTCGGTAGTTGGGACTAAGGTGAACGTATAGTATGTTCGCTTAGATACGGTCGCCTTTGTGCCGCACCTTGTCAAGGCGCTGCCGGGACATCAAAAGTCGCCGCGTGCGGCGTACGTACACAAGTGAATTTGACGTTTTAAAACGAAGCGCCGTAGTGAAAGATTCTTTGCTGCCTTACTTGTGTTTATTATTAATATTAGTATTTTATTACAATTACCATAAGAATAAAATAGTATTCGATTTTATTCTAAAAAAAGAAAAACATTTATTTAACAAACACGGTAAAAAATGATAAAATAAAAACAAAATAATAAGTGCGCCTCCGGGTATACCGACACTATTTTAGCGAACAGACTATATTTAGTATTCGCAGATGATCACACAGTGTTATCATCATTAAAAAGTTCTGATTCAGATAAAGGTTTTTATTTTTCTAGTATATTTTATAAACACAAAACAATAATTAATGCCTCAGTGCTGTATTCTTGATTTTTGTAAATATTTAACTTTTTTTTATTATTCTACTTTTAAGAATACCCTTAGTAATATAAAATAAAACCACTATTATTTTAGAAAAAAAAAACATTAATCACTATACTTTTCTAACTAATTAACTTCCTCCGCTATGAAATCTGTCAAATATTTCACCTCATTCGTAAGTGGCGCCGCCCTGGTGACAGAAAAAGTCTTGGATCATTGCGTAATAAGTAAACCATACATACCAGAAGGATGCGTGTTTCTCTCGAAGTGGGCGTTCAGTAGTTCCAGCGCTTGAGGAGTGAACGACGTCCGCCGTTTACGCTTTTTACTTGGCTCCATGCCGATGAAATCCGTCAGGTGATTCTGTCCTGATGCGTACCTGAGGAATAACAAATATACACATATTACTTATAATTATCTTCACTGATATTAATGTGTTCTAGATGAAAATTTAAAAATTTATGCCCTTTTTATTACACACTTCGATAAAATTACCTATTATAGTAACCCGTTCGCTACCAACCGTCACATATGATACCTACATCGGTTTGCTTCGAGTGCCCTTAGCAGAAATTTTTGACACTTTTCACACATTTGCGTTTCGATATCGACAAAAATTGTATGTAAATATGAACAACGCCCCTGACGGATGTTAATGGAACTATGTTTTATCATACAAAGTTGCTCGATGGCGATACGAATTCGATATAATTATGGAGTGTAGAGTAGAAGGAGAACCATCTTATAAGGTATAAAGTTGAAAAAGTGTCCCACTATATACTGAAAATAGAGGTTCCAAAACCTACCACAATAGCGCTGGCGTCTGAAAAACTACGATATGAATATAGCTGTTGTAGACGGAGTGAAGTCAGCTGAATTCAAATATTTAAAAAATTTCATGACTAGAGTAGTTAGTAAAATGCCAGTATACAAAACCTCAACTATTTACGTAGTACGAAACCAAGCGGATTGGTCGGCCCTTGTTTATTTCTCCATCTTATTCTAATTAATTTTGGCGCTTTTTTTTTAATTTATCCTATGCTAGTGCAGCGCCACACTTATTGAACGCGTTTTTACGGACACTTATTCATTTTATACAGAGATGGTCCTCCTTCTACTCTACACTCCATAGATATAATAGAAAAGTCGTCACATTTATGTTATACGATTTGTATCAATTTACGGAACGCGTTCTGTTTTAAACAGAATTGTTAAATTGTAAAACGGTGAAATGTGCCTATTTTCACGAATGCATTTAATTTTTTTGGAATGTTCTAAATCTATTCCAACTAGTATTCAAAACCTGGTAGCGAACGAGTCAAAATTTTAAGTAAGTGATAAAAGTAATAAATGGGTTTATGTAATGAATTGTGTTCGTTCCCATGACATTAGCACACGCATGCAAGTTATTGTTAGCATAACCATAAAATACATAACGACCAACAATGCGTAAATAATAATAAAATGTTGTCATCGCACGAAGATTTTTTACAAATAAAAATAATAAATTATATATTTTTTAACTTTTAAAAAAATTGTCGCGTATCAGCGTGCGTCGCCTCTGACAACGGTATCGTTGTCGGGGATGTCGTTATAACCATTCTGACGTAAAACAGCCAGAAGGGTTAATCAAATCGATTATCTACAATCGTCAACGCTAATAGAAAACTATAAAATGAATCGTCAAGTCTCTGATTGTGTTGTGACTTAACGCTTATTTCAATTATTTAGCTAGTTTTCCATTACTTAAGTGTTAACGATTGAGAGTTAACTTGGCTGAGACTGTTGAGCGACAAAGAGAGCAAAATCAAAGGTACAAGACGTATGGTAAGTACTGTCATCCTCAATCCGCCTGCCAAACTCGGTGATTATGGACATTCTTCTTATGACGTGAGGGGTCCATGTAATGCAAAAGACTTTTACGTTCTGAGGAAGAAAGAAAGAAGACTGAAGTTATGTTGTTGTAATATAGATTTTATTAGACAAATCAGAAAAACCGTGGCGGTTACCGTGTACTGGCGGTGTAAGAATATACCCATATCGCCCTGTCGGTATCGTAAGAGATGACAAAGGGAAACTAACCAGGATATGGACAGTAGTGCCTTCCTGACACTTACTCAAGATTATGACAAATCTACGGTTGCCAATCCACCTGACAAGCGTGGCAACTATGGCGAAATCTCCCCTGTGAGGCAATCTACTGGAGAGCCCTATGTTCAGCAGTGGACTCTCATACGCTGTAATAGATGGATAGATGGAATCAGAAAAAGTCTTCTTAAAATATTATGACTTAGTATTTATAATCATTCATTCATTTATTTATTACAGCATATCGAAGTCACCTTCTAAAAATAAGCCTAAAATTACCATAAGTTGCCAAGTTTGGCAGGGGGCTTCGCAACTGCAGTTGTTTATTTTATAGTTGTTATAAGGAAGATGCTGCTGCCCATCTCCTGTTACAGTCTCCTTCTGTCGCCTCTTACAAAAACAACGTAATGATATGGGTTAGGTAATTTCCATAAGTAACTACACGTCTCGTCGCTGCTGTAAATGCAAGAGGGTTATACCTCCATTTATGCGAGACAAAATGATTTTACGGGCTTTTCCTAAAGCCTAAAGCCGCGTCTCCACCAAAGTTTTGTTGCCAACACAACAGTTGGTAACAAAACTTGAAACAATGTCGGGAATGGTGTTTCGTTTCGTTTCGTTTCGTTTCGACGGCAACATCAAAGGAATACGCTTGTTGCAAACATTTGTTCCTTCGGTGGAGACGCTTGTTGGAAACAGTTGGAAACATAGCTGTTGTCAACATTTTTGGTGGATACGCGGCGTAATACGACACCCACGTCATAAGATGAAATGACGTATTCCTATGCGCCGCTAATACAAAGCGAACCCCACCCTTTATGAAATAAAAATGATGGCTATATTATCTATGGCTGGATTTTCTTACCGAACACTTATTATAACTTTCCCCAAGAAAAGCAGTCCTTCTCAACAAATCAACCGCGCAAAGATCATACGGACCGACCGGCTCTATAGCAAATGGTGTATACACGTTTCAGTATTTCGTACGTCAATAGAGTAAAACCTGGTGTGAAATTTCGTTACCTATTGATTATGATTTGTTATCGACTTTAATTAGAGACATTTTATTATTTAGTTATTTTACGTAAGACAAACGTGCCTCAGCTTACGCCTAAGGAAATCGAAAAATTAAGTTCAGGAAATGACAAAGCATTTTCAAAGTTAGCTTTTCAGTCAAATTCTATAAGCACGTTTTTTCTCTTTTTTTTTTTAAAACCATGTCATATAAAGGGTTACCTAAGTTTCTCAAAAAGGCTTCTTATAAAAGTTCCAAAGAATGGAACAAAAGTTGGAAACGAGTTGTGAAGCCTTATTGCTCCAAATTGGGTGACCCTTTATGCGATTATTTTGCTACAAGCATTGTTTAATACAACAAGGAACTCTGGCAAGTTTTAATATAAAATTACCGACGACGTCACCATAGCGATTTAAGTATGACTTTTTGCTTAGTGGTTCAGTGACTAGATAATCAACGTCCGTCCGTAGCGTACCGTCCGCCGTGGGCACAAGTTCCAGCTATAGATGATATTCATGCAAACACAAGTAGGAAGGTTGGACCAAGTGAATTTTACTTTATTTACGCTCTTATACCGTTTTCAATGCCTAAAAGACTGCAATGAAGTGGACGATATGAATGACAAGCTCGTGGAAACTGTCCATGTGGTCGGAGCTAAGTTTTGCAAGACCCGCCGCAGAAGAACACAAAAGCTCTCCGATCACACTCTTAATCTCATGGCTGTTAGACGGGAGATGAAACTACATTCTTCAACAGATTTGACAGCATACAGGCAACTGAACAGACAGATCTCCAAATGCATGCGGCGGGACTTACGCAACTTCAATACAGCTCGTATTGAAGAAGCGATCGAGCGGAACCAAGGCTCCAAAGTCTTTGCCAGAGATCTGTCTGCCAGAAAGAGCCAACTGTCGAAGCTGAAGACAGAATGTGGCAGCATCGTTTCCGGGGCACCTGAGATTTTGAGTGAGATTGAGAGGTTCTATGGACAGCTGTACACGTCATCGTTGGGGCCATACGCGAGTGTGAGTTACGATCCAAGAGCCTTATCGTCTTATCCGACATTATTCCGATGATATCCCGGACGTCAGTCTGAGCGAGATTAGAATGGCTCTCTAGCACCTTAAAAATGGCCCCAGGCGAGGATGGAATTACAGCGGAGCTAAAACCGGTACTTGAAGTCCTTCAGAAGCTCTTTAATTCCGTCCTCCATGGTGGCATTACACTGAAGGCGTGGAGCAGAAGTGCAGTGGTCTTGTTCTTCAAGAAAGGCGACAACGCTCTCTTGAAGAACTACAGACCGATTTCCCTTCTGAGCCGCGTCTACGTGCTGTTTTCGAGAGTCATTACGAATTGTTTCGCGCGCAGACTTGACGACTTCCAGCCTCCCAAACAAGCCGGTTTCCGAAAAGGTTTTAGCACCATAGACCACATACATACCCTTCGGCAAATTGTACAAAAGTCAGAGGAGTACAATTTGCCACTATGTCTGGCGTATGTGGATTATGAGAAAGCCTTTGATTCCGTCGAAATTTGGGCAGTGCTGCAGTCCCTTCAGCGGTGCCAAGTGGACTGTCGGTACATCGAAGTGCTGAAGTGCTTGTACAGTAGGACTACGATGGCTATCCGAGTACAGAACCAGAGTACGAAACCCATCCAATTGCAGAGAGGTGTAAGACAGGGTGACGTCATATCCCCGAAACTCTTCACCGCTGCATTGGAAGACGTTTTCAAGCTTCTGGACTGGAAAGGATACGGTATTAACATCAATGGCGAGTACATCACTCACCTTCGATTTGCCGACGATATAGTCCTTATGGCAGAATCGCTGGAGGACCTAAGAACCATGCTCAATGACCTCAATAGTGTCTCTCAACGAATAGGTCTTAGGATGAACATGGACAAAACAAAGATCATGTTTAATATGTCCATGTCACACCTATGCCGGTAGTTGTTGGGAGCACTAAGCTCGAAGTTGTTGACGAGTATGTTTACCTGCGACAAATAGTCCGATTAGGTAAGTCCAACTTCGACCGAGAGGTCAATCGACGGATTCAACTCGGTTGGGCAGCGTTCGGGAAATTACGGCACATCTTCTCGTCAGGTATACCTCAAAACTTGAAAACGAGACTGTACAACCAGTGCGTGTTGCCAGTGATGACATACGGAACTGAGACGTGGTCCTTCACTGCCAGCCCGACGAGGAAGCTCAAGGTCGCTCAGCGAGCTATGGAGAGGGCTATGCTCGGAGTTTCTCTGCATGATAAACTCAGAAA